CAGCTATAATATGTTATTGAAATATACAGTAAGTTTTATATACTGTAGTTTTCAAGTTTATTATAATATATACTTGGATATCCATATATGTTGCATCTGTTCACTCCTGTTAGGGCCATAGGCCTATACGACATATTGGGTTTTGAAAAAATCTTGTAGAAGCCATTTCTGCCCTTAATAGAATAATAATATGTTAAATGTACTCACTATAAATATATTTCCTGTCTCTTATACACATCTAGATGTGTATAAGAGACAGGTCAAGAATTTTTGAGGCGCGAATGATGATAATGATAATGACGTACAGTATTTGTATTCGTTATCGTTTTCGTAAGGTTGAGAAATCTCCCTATTAACAAGGTAACGCAAATGTAGACCATATATTATTAGGCCTAAATTTCGGCTTCCTGGTCCGGCTAAAATAATTTTGTGTTGCCCGAGCCCGACCAACCTAGAATTTCGAAAATCTGGAGTCAAATTTTCCTCTGTTTTTCTTTTAAAAACATATTTTCCATTGGGTCAGATTTTTGTCTATTTATCTTTTGACAACATGTTTCCCCTCCGTATACTGTACAAGGCTACAGTCAAAGCCTGGAATAGTCTGTATGCCCTAGCTGTAATACGGCTATCGTGCCATCCCAAATTTGGCCAGCCGAAACTTCCCTAGCATAAATCAGTTTTTGTAATCATATTATTGTTTAAATTCAGCCTCTCCATCAGGAACAGACGATACCTCATTTGAACAATCGGAAGATTGTAAACGACAACGACGAATGCGGACCACATTTAACACCGAACAGTTGGCGAGTATGGAGGAGATGTTCGCTGTTACACATTACCCAAATTTTGAAATAAGAAAACAACTATCAGAAGCAACCGATCTCGAAGAAGAACGCATTCAAGTAGGTGCCATTTTTGTTGAAATATTTTAATTTCAAGTGTTATAAATCTCAGAAACTACGAAATCTACGAAACTTTATGGGCCCCTCCCCCACTCCATTGCAGCAAACTAGTTCCACTAAGTGGGGTTAAAACATTAAAAATAACCATTAAGTTATCATTGGAATAGGGATTTGTTTCCGCATTTTTGGGATTCCGCATTCTCATTTTTCACAACACTCCACCCCCCCCCCCCCACGAGATGAGGCCGAAACCAGCCAACGCCCCTAAACATGAATTTATTTCACGATCTGTAGTATCCGAACAAATACAAAGTAGCATGCCTATTCTTAAGTTTTTTTGTTTTTTTTCAGACGCATGAATGTAAGCAATATAAATGAGAGCCACTTTAGAAGCAGGGAACAGTGAAATGTAACTGTTCCCTGTTTAAAAGTTATTAGTTTTATTATTAATTTTAAAATTATCTTCCCTTCAATAGATATGGTTTCAGAATAGACGTGCAAAATGGCGAAAGTATGAGAAACTTGGTAATTTTGGCGGGCTCGAACATCTCCGAGAAACGGAAGTTGTGCCTGCTCCTATGTCTACGCCTCTGGCCCAGGTACATACAAGCTTATTACTTTCGTAGTTTGTCATTTCTGGTTGCGTGATTTTATTAGTTTTAGAAATAATTCTTGATCAATATTACAGCACACATTTTCTATTTAAGTCTTTTTTTTTGTTCCAGATGTCAGTGTTGCCAGTGCCGTCTGCCTGTCAATCATACCTGATCTTAGACCAAGCTCTACCGCCTCATTTCGACGCATGTTTAACCAATCCTTTCGACTTTGGAAGTTAGTACTTCCTACTTTACCTAAAACACCATCTTCACTGGATCACACAACAAGAAAAGAATAATCGATCAATTCAACATTTTCAATATAATTTTCTTAAATGACGAATATATGTTAACGTAATAATATGCCAAATATTGATGATTATGATGATAATACTACAGTAATAAAGTCGTTGATACATTGATAAGGAGGGGTAGTATTTATAATTAGGGTGGTGGTGATGATGATGAGGATGAGGAGCAGGAACATGATGATGAAGATGATGGTGATGAAGATAATGATAATAATTATAATGGTAATAATATTAGTATATGTACATAAAATCACAACAACTGTTATTGCCACCTAAAACTCATTAAAACCTGAAAAAAATTGTAATTGCTCTTTCAGCAAAAAGGCCTGTTTACACTATGATGACGATAACGATCCACGATAAAAAGCAAACGTTGATCGTTAACGTCATAGTGTAAACAGGCCTTAAGTTATCAATTTCAGTTTCCGTCACAGCTAAGAAAAACAATTTCAACAGACACTTTACTACGAAAATTTTGAAATTTTCTGGCCAAAACCTCCAGTATGAGTAGGCTATATTATAGTACGCTTATACTATAATGGTATTATTTGAACGTCCGTTAATTGAGCGAGGTATTTTTTTCTCGCCCCAATTTTCAGGAGACAGCTATAATATGTTATTGAAATATACAGTAAGTTTTATATACTGTAGTTTTCAAGTTTATTATAATATATACTTGGATATCCATATATGTTGCATCTGTTCACTCCTGTTAGGGCCATAGGCCTATACGACATATTGGGTTTTGAAAAAATCTTGTAGAAGCCATTTCTGCCCTTAATAGAATAATAATATGTTAAATGTACTCACTATAAATATATTTCTTCAGTCTTCCGCATCCCGGATTTCCGAAATGGCTTATACAAGATTTCAATTCCATAACCACAATATACTTTTTTTTTTAGTAAAGAGTTTTTAATAATTTTCTTTAATACGACATTAAATGATTGAATGAAGAATTGAAATGGCTATCCAGTGTACTATCAGTTCATTTTATTGAACATAAAACTGAGTCACGGACCACAACTCAATTCAGCACAATGACGCGGCGTAGTTGTTTGTTTTTTTTTATGTTGGTGATGCTAGGGACAATCCACTTGAACCATGAGTACGCTGACCGTGTAATCTAGACAAGGAGATGCTACTACTGTATGGCACAAGGGGGATCGACCTAGCGTGTTCCGTTACATAGTCTGGTCTTCTTTAAGTGATTAACATTAACTACATGCTCAGACACAATGGTCTATTGTACAATAACCCCGGTTTCCATGTAAAATCGCTTGATTCTATTAATTTAATCTTAAATGTGTTTTTTTTTCGTGTGTCCGAGCTTCGCGGAAAAACTTTTTCTTTACTACTACTAGTACTTACGAGGAGCGATTGTCTTCATCTACCATGTAAATCCAATACAGAGGCTGAGGCAATAAGTTGAATATACTTTTTGTAAAGATGTCTCTGATTCTGAACAGAAGATCCGACCCAACAAATACAAGATGAGTTATCGGTACTTCAAAACAACACTGATGTGTTTTTTTTTCATAATGGCTTGCTTCATTTTTTGTAAGTAAATTGTTTGAATTAGGCATAATTCGTCGCTCACATCACGAACTTACACAATCAAAGTAGATTGTGTTAGTGATTGTGTTAGTTCGTGAAATCACAGTAGCGCGTCAAAACGAGCGCGTATTGGTTGTCAAGAAATTTTGTATTCTTTACCACACAAAAAGTCCTTAACAACAACAGCGGTATTTTGACGTGCTTTTTTGATTTCATGAACTAACACAATTGAATTTAATTGTGTTAGTTCGTGATGTGAGCGACGAATTGTTTACAAAACTGCGATTTGTGACAGCAATTAATAGCACAGTAGGCTTACAGATAAGGTCCTAAAGGTAGATTGAAATATTGGTTTTCTCCAAAAAGTCAATCCATGCATATAGTATTTGTTTCCTGTCAGCTTTACTTGTAGTACAGATACTCTTGGAAACTCTGTATATAATAT